GTTTAAATCTCACCATATTATCATTCCTTTTATATTTTTCTCACATTTTTTTACTTTTCTGTTCCTGTCATTCTGACTTCTTTGGGGTAATTATTTTATTATTCTGTTTTCCCCTCTACTCACTATTCAATTCTTAATTATACACGCTTTTACTATTCTTATTGGTTACCCTAGAGCAGCAATCCTTAAACATTTTGGTTGCCAGACCCCTTTATAGTCTCAAAAATATTAAGAACCCAATTGGATATCCATATGTAAAAGAATGTAGTTGAACCCTTATCTCACACTGCATACAAAAATTAACTCAAAATGGATCAAAGACTAAATTTAAGACCTAAAACTAAAAGCGCTTAGAAGAAAACATAGGGGTAAATATTCATGACCTTGGATTTGCAAACATAGGGGTAAATCTTCATAACCTTCATGGCACCAAAAGTTCAAGAAACAAAAGAAAAAATAGATAAGTTGGATGTCATCAAATTAAAAATGTTTACATATCAAAAGACACTATCAAGAGAATGAAAAGACAATCCACAGAATGGGAGAAAATATTTGTAAATCATATATCTGATAAGGGTCTAGTTTCCAGAATATATAAAGAACTCTTACAGCTCAAAAAAGACAAAAAAGGGGTGGGGGGACTTAAGTAGTAATTTCTCCAAAAAGGTGTATAAATTCCAACAATGCTCAATGTCATTAGTCACAACAGAATTGCAAATCAAAACCACAATAGATACTACTTAATACCCATACTGAATGACTATTAAAAGAAAAAGAAAGAAAATAATAAGTGTTGACAACATGTGGAGAAACTATGACACTCATACATAGGTAATGGGAATGTAAAATGATGTGCCCACTGTGAAAAATAATTTGACTGTTCTTTGGTAAGTTAAGCATAGAATTAGCAATATGACCCAGCAATTCCACTCCTGGCATATACTCAAAAGAACTGAAAACAGGTGTCTAAAAACTCACACACAGATGTTCATAGCACCCATATTCACAATAGCCAAAAGGTGTAAACAACCCAAATGTTTATCAGCTGATGAATGGATAAACAAAATATTGCATATTCACACAATGGAATATTATTTGGCAAAGAAAAAGGAATCTAGGGACAATACATGCTACAACATAGATGAACCCTGAAAATATCAGCTACGTGAAAAAAGCCAGAGACACAAAAGGCCACATATTATGTTTCCATTTATATGGAATATCCAAAATAAATAAATCCATAGTAACAGAAAGCAGATTTGTGGTTGCCAAGGGCTGAGGGGAAGAAGAAATGGGGAGTTTCTGCTTAATGGCATAAAATGTCCATTTGGGGAAATGAATGGGTTCTGGAATTGAACAGTGGTAATGGTTGAACAACCTTATGGATGTGCTTAATGCCACTGAACTGCACATCTTTTAATAGTTACAATGATAAATTTTGTGTTAATCTATCTCACCATAATTTAAAAAGTTATTGAGGACCCCCAGAGAGCTTTTCTTCATTTGGATTATATCAGATTATATTTACCATATTAGAAATGATAATTGGCATTTTAAAAGTAGATATACATTAATTCATTCTAAAATAATTAGATCATTACAAATAGCATATTTTCTTTTTTTGTTTAAAAAACAAATAAGAGTGGCATTTAAATTTATTACTTTTACTTTAATATCTGGCTTATAAAAGACAGCTTGATTCTTATATCAGCTTTAGTATTCAATCCATTGCTATACAATGTTTTAGTTGAAGTATATGGAGAAACCTTGGCATTACACAGAAATGTAGCTGAAAAATGGAGTATTTTAATAGTCTTTTCAGATAATCGTGGATACCTTTTTTTGATATAAAACTCAAGTGGTAGTCTCTTAAAGGCTAGTTGTAACATAGAATGTGAAACCATACTAACAAAATTTTCATATTCTTTTTGTACATTAAAATATAATGGTCTACTTTGCACTTTAAGTGGGCTTTTTACCATGTAAATTTCATAACATCACACATTGGTCATGGTGTATGATTCCTTTAATGTGTTACTGAATTCAGTTTGCTAGTATTTTGCTGAGGATTTTCACATCACTATTCACTTTGGGTATTAGCCTATAGTGTTCTTTTCTTGTGGTGTCTTTATCTAGCTTTGCAATCAGGGCAATGCTGGCCTCATAAAATGAATTTAGGAGTGTTCTCTTCTCTTTAATTTTTTGCAGGAGCTTGAGGATTGGTGTTAATTCTTCTTCAAATGTTTGGTAGATTCTACCAGTGAAACCATGTCAGCTTTTCTTTGTTGGGCAGTTTTTAATTACTGATTCAATCTCCTTACTTTTTATTTTTCTTTTCAGATTTTCTAGTTCTTCATGGTTCAATTTTAATAGCTTGACTTTTCTAGGAATTTACCTGTTTCTTCTAAGTTGTCCAATTTATTGGCATATATTTGTTTGGCATGTAGCTGTTTCCTAATGATTGTATTTCTGGGGTATCTATTGTAACGTCTCTTCTTTCACTTATAATTTTATTTATTTCAGTCTTTTATCTTTATTTTTATGTGCTAACCTGACATCATCTGAATTATTTGCTTCTTATCTTGTAATCTAGCAACCAGCCATTCATTTAATTTAAAGTGAAGCATTTTTTCCTCAGTTTTAACTTCAGCAAATTCTGAAATTTTCTTAAAGGGCCAGCACTTTAAAAGAATAATTTATTTCTTCTCTAGGAATTTCTAAGCTCCGTTATTTTGAGATTTACACAAGTGCTTGGTAATTTTTATAAGGTAGTCAAAATAGAAATTTCTCTTAATGTAAGAAACTTAACTTTTCTCAAGTGCCAGAACTCCAGGAATAGCTATTTGTTACAAGGGAAGATAACTCTTGTGTCTGCAAATCCATCTCTATTCTCTTGTAATGTCTTTTTCTGGTTAGTGGGCACGTCTACCACTAAGGAATCTTGATCTGTCCAAGGTGAGGGTATTTTCATCCCTTTTACTCCGCAATGCAGAGCTCCTCTACCTGGGCGATCTGAGTAACAGTACAGACTGTCGGGAAACCTCCTTTTCAGGTTTCGTCTTACTGCTGAGGCCAGTCATTGCTTCAGCTGGTCCTTGGGAAAGTCCCAATCATTCATAATCATGGCCATTCCACCCCCCATCTCATCCCAGCAGGCTTTGCTGCCCTCCTCTCTTCTCTCCAGGTCCTCTTTATATCACTGAGCTATGATTTCAGTAGATGAAAGTAAAAATTTTATTACAGAAGATAGTGATGTTAGGAGGAGAGAGTGAAGAAAACCAGTGCCTGGTGAGCCCACACTCACACAACCAAAGAGCCAAGGGATTATGGAGACAGAATAAGTAATCAGCTGTGACAGGCAGATGCCAGACAGCACAGCAACTTCAGTTGGGACAAGACAAAAAAAAAAAAAAAAGTCAGCCACCCCAGTATAGTACCTGGGTGTCTTACATTCTAGAGAACGCATGCTTCGTTACATGGATAGCTATTTAACAGTCAAGCTCTTCTGTTCTCTAACAGATTTTTTAAATTTATGGATATATATTTTGTCTTTGATTCTCTTCTCTATCCTTGGCCATTGGCCCACTGGAGACCTAGTGCCACGAAACTCCTTAAGCAATTGTGGACATCTTAATAAATTTTGCTACAGCTCCACAGTTCAAGGGTTTATTTCCCAAAAGCCAGCACCACACTTACACCACTCTTAGCAAGAAAGGCTACTATCCTGGGCTGATACAGAGCAACCCCATCACCACCCCAACACGGGACCTCCTCTGGCCTCCCCTCCCACAAAATGATGAGTCAGAAGGCCTTGGAACTTTCCCACCTGGACCCCACATTAACTCCTTCCAGACCAGTGCTACTCAAAGTGCGTTCTTCTAACTAAACCCATTAGCAAACTGCTTGTTTCAGGTCCACAATCAGCTAAATACAGAAATTGAAAGCAAGCATTCACAAATTTTATCACAATATAACCTGTCTGCAACATCCAAGATCCTGATCATTTTCCATTTTTTCCAGTAATGCTAGTATGACACAATGTATAGCTAGTACTAATGCTAATAAAATACATTATATCTTATAAAAGTATAGGCCCATCACAGATTGGAAGCTGAAAAACGCTGGCCATTCATCATAAGCACTGCTTTAGACTCTGGCACTTTCTGCCCAATATCCCTGAATCTCCTTGTAGAGTCTCTGCAGGCCTCTACCCCGGGGGTGTCCTCAGGTGGGCAGACCCTCATCAATGCTCTCACCTGGCCCTGCTGCTTGACCGGCAACCACTGGTTCATGGGGGTGTGGATGGGGTTTGGACTTGTGAGTTGGGGCGTCCACTTGCGTGCCTGCAAGGCCCCTCCCAGTGCAGACTCGGGGTAGTGGAGGGGATGGAGGGAAAGGAGGCAGGCTGAGGGCTGAGGAGCCACAGGCAGCAAGTTCTAAATCTAAGTCTGCCCTTCTAGGTTGTTATGAAGATGTATCTGCCAAGATAAGAGGATGGAATATACTTCAACCATCTGTTAGCCTAACCTCAGTAATTAGACAAGTGGTACATAGGCCTCCATTTGTTACTTGCAGGGGGATCCATAAATGTTCTGGGCAGGCTGCCTTAAGCATCCCTGGATGAACAGCTGAGAAGCACATTAAATCACATGCACTTTGTAAATGCACATGAACATTTTACTGCATAGCTTCCAAGGGGACCCTGAGCTGGTATGATTAAAAACCACTGGTCAAGATATTGCAGAAACTCTTATGGGACAAGCTGGCATCGTCCACTCTACTAGTTCCAAAGACAGGGTCAAAGGCTGACTCTTCTTTTGCTTGGTGTAGGTTTAAACCTAGAGAATGGCCATCATCAGTGGCTGAGGAGGTCTCCCAGATTCTTACTGAATCCTTTGGATCTCCACAGAGCAGACTTGCTGACTTCCTGACTTCCTAGGAGTCATCCCTTCCCCTCCAGGAAAGAACCCGCCTCCAGGCCCAATCTCCCATGTTTTCACCTGCGGTCTGCAATCTGCTGATGCAGAAGTCGTCTCCCCAGGGAGGCAGCTGCCCACCTTCCTCCTGGAGATCAGGCCCAGGAGCCTCAGATCTTCCGCACATGGGGTGTCCTATAGATGCACTGCACCAAGGTGTGGGTGGTCGGGCATAGGGCCGTGGGCTGGGCTCTCAGCTGTGCACTGCAGGGCTGCTGAACAGTACAGAGCAGTAGGCACCTGTGGAGGGCGTGGAGAGTGGGACCTGGTCCATCCTTCCCCCTGCAACAGCCTCCTCACCTCCCGCAGGCCCTCGAGTAACCCTGGGCATCCTCTCCACCTGCTCCTGTACGTGGGTCCACACAAGTCACTGCTGGGCCCTGGGGATGGACAGGTCTTTTCCAGAGTGGCTCAGCCCTCCCAGTCCTATAGTCATGGCTGGGTGGAAGATTTCTGCAAGGCCTGCTGCCCAGACACACCTCAGGCTGTCCTAGCCTAGGGAGACTCCCATGTTCTCTGTCCAGAAACACCCATTTCTTAGGGGAAAACACCCCATAATGGTTTGTTTGTTTGTGTGTTGTACATGCTAGGCCCTAGGGAATGTTTTAGAAAGACCACCCCATTTTAACGTTGCAAGATAAAGGCTATAAACCTTCCAGAGTTGGCTCAGCCGCTGCCTCTGCTGGGCAGCTCCCAGCCACTCACTGAGAACTGGAAATCTTCCAGGAAGGGTTGGGATAGTCAGGCAGGAATTCAATGTCTCTCACTGGGCCAAGACACAGTCCTTCAAAGTAGGACACTGAAGCCCTGCGGGAGAATCTGCACTGAAGCCTAGAACAGACCACCTGCTCTTTCCCTGGCAGTAGTCAGAGCCATCCCCGCCTCACCTGTCCTTGACCTTAGGATATAGCTCTCCAAACCTAAACTCTCCCCCACACAATGCTAAACATATGGGTGTAGCCTTCCCGACTTTGTTCTGAGAACAAAGATAAGGAGGAGAATTCAGTTCCTCCCTTCAGTTCAACTGCTAGTGCACAGAAGCTCCTAAAAGCTGACCCCTCCTGATCCCTCACAGTGCGCAGTCTCGGACCTATCACGCCGCCCTCTCTGGGCCCTGGTGGGATGGTGATGGAGGGATGCTGCCAACTGCCTCTGGCTTGAGCACTCTGGTCTCTCCCCATTTTCTCCTGCAGGACCAAGGAAGTTGCTACTATGAAGCTTTTCGGGCAGAAGAATATTTCTGTGTTTTGACTCCCAACCTAAATTGGCTCCTTAGAGGCAGAAATACGGCTGCCATGCCCCTGCCTGGGTCGCAGTCACTGGGAAATAGCGGGCTCAGGATGTTGCAGTTTAATTCGTTTCACGTTGCACTCCAAGGAGGATGAACTGTGGAGCATGGTGATACAGAGATGTTGTGGGGTTTTCTCTAGGACCTGTGTGTCCAGTGTTGGTGGCTGTGGAAATAGCATGCCACTCACTGAAACAGGGGTATGGGCGGAGGAGCAGGTATTGGGGAAATAATGTTCAAGTTGGGACATGTGGAATGTGAGGGGCAGGAGATCCATCCCAGGGGAGGGGACCAGTGGGTAGATGAATGCAAGGGTCCAGGGGATGGGGGTGAGTGGGGACTCGAGAGGTGAATGATGGTGACTCTCCCAAATCTTATCTAAACTATGGGTTTGGATGGGGCCATTCAAGGACCTTGCACAACCCAGAAGAGCTCGGAGCCACCATGGAGCCCTGGCAGAGAAGAACAGAGCAGGAATGAGCTCCAGGAAAGGGGGGACTGGGAGGGGCAGCCAGAGAAGCAGTGGTAACCAAGAGAAGGGATTTAAAAAAAACAGCGGAGGGCAGAGTTTCAAGGAGAGACGGGCCCACGAAGGCAAATGACTTAAGAAATTTCAAGTAAGACAGACTTGGAAACGTCCACCGGACAGGGCCACGTAAAGATCAAAGGTGATTTCAGAGGAAGCCTTCCAAGGATGCGTAAAGGAGAGGCAGGGAGAGGAGCAGGAAGGGGAGGGCGGCATGAACACGGATCACAAAGCTGCTCACGGGTGCAGGGTGGGCAGAGTGGGAACAAAGTTGGAGCATATTTTTGGTGCAGCCACGATGGAGCGAGGCAATGGCGGCAGGAGGGCGGAGGGCGCGAGGGCGGGGTCCCGCCTCCCAGAGGGGGCTTCAGCCCACATCACGGTCCTGGAAGCGGGCAGCAGAGCATTCCGCTGGGAGAAGGGTGGGAGGGGGTGGGAAGGAGCTGACGAAGAGATGAAATTGGGAATAGTCAGGGGGGTAGGAGAGAGAGCAGCGCGTCACAGCGCCGCCTGCCGAGCTGGAGGCAGAATGCGAGGCTCCGCCGGCCCGCAGCCGAGGGCTTTTTCTCGTTTCGCCTGACAGCTCACCGGGGAGACGGGGAGACCCAGCATGCGCGCCGCCGGGCGGAGTGGCTGAGCTCTGAGCTGGGCTGGGAAGCCACGCGGACGAAGGCAGGAGGTCGTCGCATGTGCTGGGAGGACTGGTGACTGGCAGGGGAACTGAAGGGCCCAAGCGGCTGAGCACTGCACTGCGAGGTTTTGGAGGGGAAGCTGCTCCCCGTCACAGCGGTGCCCGTGGGAGCGTGCAGCCGGAGTGGAGGAGAGGTGAATGCTCTCAGAAACCCGGAGGCTGAGAACAAAGCCCAGGCTCCAGGCCGACTTCTCACCCACAAAGTCCCAGGAGGCACCACAGTGGTGCCTAGGGACGGGGGACAGTGAGACAGGTGCCCAAGTCCTCAGTGAGTACGGGGAAGGGGAAGAGGACATCAAGGGAAAAGGGAACCTGAGTGGCAGGAAGCTCTCCGGAAGCATGTTTATATAAAGGACAGAAACGTGTCTGGAATGAGCACAATGAGGGTAAGAATGATGCTGGCCTCCCTGCTCTGTGTGACGGGTCCCAGACGAGGGGCGTCAGCCCATCTGAGGAGGGGCGGGGAAGAACATGCTTCCCCTGGTTGAATAGTGTGCGGCCTGTCCTCTGGAACCCTCTTCTAGGTCAGCAGTGGGGGGATCTGTGGGGGCAGAAGCCGGGCAGTGCCGAGTGACAACACTGAGGATCAGTTCCAGGGCCAGCTGGGCATGGGACAGCAGGGGCCAGAGCTGGAGCCTAACCAGACCCAAGGCGTCGAGGCCTGTGTCTACACTGCTGGAGCCTCAGGGTTCCAGAATGGCCCTGGGGAAAGGCTGGTTTGTACCTGGCCGGGCTCTTCCGATGGGAGGCCGGCCCAGGTTGTCCCAGGAGTCCATGGTGCTGGCCCTGCCCTGGACTATTTCTCCCTAAGAGGGAAACTGGGGTCTCCTTGTCTTTGCTCCAAGCTTGGCACCTACTTGGGACTCTGTCTTTGAGAAGGAATAACAGGGGGAGAGGAAGGATTGTCACCATCACAGAGAGACTGGTTAGGTCAAAGGGGAAACCAGACTTGGG